CGAGGTTGGGAGATGGAGACAACGCTTTGCAATGGTTCCAGTCCTACCTGACTGGGCAATTCCAGAAGGTGGTGCTGGGGGCCTATAGCTCTGTGCCATGGCAACTTTGCCATGGAGTTCCACAGGGTTCCATTTTATCCCCCATGCTTTTTAACATCTAAATGAAACTGCTGGGAGAGGTCATCAGGGGGTTTGGACTATGGAGTCATCAGTACACTGATGACACTCAGCTCTACCTCTCCTTTACATCTAGTCCAGGTGAGGCAGTGGCTTTCCTTAACCGGTGCCTGGCCAGGGTCATGGGCTGGATGAAGGCCAATAAATTCAGACTCAATCCAGACAAGACAGAGGTCCTGCTGGTGGATGATTCTGTTTTCCGGGCAAGTGATTTTAACTCTATCCTGGATGGGGTTGCACTCTCCTTAAAGGATAGGATAAGCAGTTTGGGAGTGCTCCTCAACCCAGAGCTGTCCCTGGCATCTCAGGTGGCAGCGGTGGCAAGGAGCACTTTCCTTCAGCTTCAGCTGATCCATCAACTGTGCTCTTACCTGGATGACCACTGCCAAGCAACGGTGACCCACGCTCTGGTAACTTCCCTATTAGATTACTGTAACACACTCTATGTGGGGCTGTCCTGTAAGATGGTCCAGATATTTCAGTTGGTCCAGAATAGAGTTGCTAGGATGTTAACAGGGACTGGCAGGTACCCACATTTAACACCGGTCCTCTATCAATTGCACTGGCTGCCAACTGAAGTCCGGGCCCAATTTAATGTGCTGGTGATGACTTATAGAACTCTAAATGGCTTGGGTTCTAGGTACCTGAAGAAGTGCCTTCTTCCCTATGTGTCCTCCCACCCCTTGAAATCTGAGGCAGGGGCCCTGCTCCAGGAAGCCTCCTTGATTAGGAGAGTGGCTACCCAGAGAAGGGCCTTCTCTGTGGTGGCAACCCATCTATGGAATGTGCTCCCTAGAGAGGTTTGCCTGGCACCGATGCTTTAATCTTTGTCAGGTGAAAACCTTTTTATGCTCCCATTACTTTAGTTTTAACTGGGGCTTTTATCTTGATTGCTGGATGCTGTGTTTTGCTATTTTACTGTTCTTTTCTGCAAGCCGTCCAGAGATGTTAAAGTGGTGGATGGGGTACAAAAGTTTTAAATAAATAAGTAAACAAAACATTTTAAAATGAAAGGGAACAGGTTTAAGACAAATTGAGATTTAGGTAATAATTCTATGACCAGTAGACACTGCCTGGATAGTTAAGATTGTCATCTCTGGGGCTGAAGACATCTCAGACCTGGGAATGAGAACTGTCCCTCACTGCTTCACAGCAGTGCTCTTGGAGGCTTGGGAAGTGACCCAAGAGAAGGGTTAAAGGGGGTATTTTGAGAAGTAGAAACAGAAGACTTGAACAGCCAGGATACAAGGCACTGTAAAGCAACTCTAGCCTCCTTCCGTTGCCCTCTTTAACACCATTATTATACAGTTGAAAACAGCTATCTAGTGAAAATACAGAGCAGGAAGGTGAAGATTGTCTCTACCACTTCTATTCTGCAACAAAGGTGAATACAAAAATTTTAAAATAAAGTATATTTAAAGATAGAGTATTACACACCTATACAGAACTGTCTGCAAAAGCAGGTAGACAAAAATGCAAATGGTTCAATATTTCAGAACAGATTGTTTTAAGAATTACATATAAACTACAGCCCTTCAAGAAGCTATAAAAAACCTGGATCTGGTTTCCTATACTCAAATGTAATGTCAAGCCAAATTTATCAAATGATTACAGAGCTTAAAAATGAACCTTCTACGTAACAGAACTGGGTAACCAATCTACGGGAAACAATTTCTCAAAAAACTTCAAGCCACAATATGTATGGATTTTAACAAATTTTAAGTTACAAGATAGCAGCCACATCTGGATATCACAATAAATCATGGTTTGCCATGATTGTAACAAGTTAAGGCTTTCCTTCTCTTATTCTCTTCAAGGCATCAGCAGCGAGATTGAAAACTTCCTCTTCCATTTCAAATCGGCATGCAACTTGCACCCTATCTGTAGTTAATCTAAATATTGTTTCTTGAAACAAGTCAGCTTCAAGACTCATGATTTGAAGTTAGCTTGTTTCAAGCAAACTGCAGTTAAGGATCCATAATTTGCCAGGTTTGGACAAAATGACAAAGCGATGACGAATCAAAAATGCAAGTAAGAGTTTTCCAAACTCCTTACACCCATAGCAGAGGACAGAAGGCACAGCATGCAAGGACAAGAGAAGCTCACTCCCATCACAATACATTGTGCTTTGCTGTCACATCCAAACATAGACACTGTACAGATGGTATTCAACTCTGGATAGTAAAATCAAATCTATAAAGAGATTACTGCATACTTGTTTATTACCACATTTCTACTTGTTGAAAATATGGTAATGTTGGAGCAAACATCTATTTTAGATTTGTATCCCACCCAATCAGGCAGGATGGCTCTCTTTATTTTGGGAAAATGTATGAAAATTTTGGGAAAATATAAAAAAATCAGATTTTGAAAAATACTGTATTGTTACCCAGATGTTATTCTACATGAGCAGCAAAAGATGGCTATAAGCTATGTATGGGAAGATTTGCCTCCCCTAAAGAAACTGTTCAGTTATTAAGAGTTTGGGAAGTAGAATACACCCCATGAGCCACTTTACCCTCCAATAAGTCATGTTGACCAGCTATGTTCAGACAATGAGTATTCAAACTGCATTGCATGCGTCTAGCACATGCCATGATTTAACTAGGTCACAGTGGCTTATTTTGATTTTTCAGACCAGACTACTGTGTTTCTTTATTATGCTATTTTATTTTATAGTTTAAGTTTTCTTTTGTGAATTGGCTAGAGAGCTTTTACTACTGGGCTGTGTGGGAATTTAGTAAAAAGAGAATCTCATGTCAGTAGCGTAGATTTTTTTAAAAAATTCAATTTTTGAATACAAATTAAGTTTTAATTTTGTGTTCTGATGCCCGAGAGCAGGAGTGGACAGCTTATGAACCCTCCAGGATTTTTATCCTACAATCCCATCATCCTATACTATTCATTATGCTAGCCAGGGCTAAAGAGCACCCTTGGCAAAAATATATGGAAAGTTACAAGTTGCCCATTTCTGGCCCAGAGATATCTTATTTATTATATTTGTGTTTTGTAAGCAAAGTAACATTTCAGGAACATTTTAAAACACATGTAATATCATTTAAATGTTGCATTGTAAGGAAAGAATACTTCTAAAAATTTAAAAACATTGTCATGTACTTCACATGCTTGATATGAAGAAAAAAGAAAAAGTAATATAACAGACACAATTTTAGCTACCCAAAGAAATACATCATATGCCAACAGTGGCCCATCTATTTCAAAAGAGTTCAGCCATCTTGCATTAATGTTGTTGGGGGACCTTTTTGCTATCAGTATTTATTCCACATTACTCTGAGTCATATAGCTATATTAGTGACATATATGTAAATTTCTCACATAATTGTTAGGAATAATCAATCACCTGAAAATATTAATTCCAAATTTGAAACTACCAAGCCTGTTTAATATTGGATTTTAATTAACATACTTTTAAAAACTGATTTATAAAATGGAAAATTTTCAGTAGAAAAAGTATTAGAAAAAATTCTGGAGAATTTCTCATTTTCCACCCTATATTTTTTTTATTTATATATCCATTCATTATATTTCTATCCCACTTTTCTCCCACTGTGCAATACAAAGTAGCTGCGTAAGGTTCCCAGATGTTCTCCCCTCCAAGCTCAGGCCAGTCCCAGATCTGCTAGCTTCAACATTGTAGATTTTTTATATAAAATTTTTATAGTTCTGTACAACTGCTGGAGTAAATTTTCATAATTTTTTGAACTTTCCTTTCTTGAATGCTTAAGCAGGAGAATATATTTATCCTTATTGGAGATCCTGCCCAAGCCAAAGAAGCAATCTTGTTCTCCTCACCCAGTGAGGAGCAGGGGAAACATCTGAGATCCTACATAGCACATTCGATGTGGTCATTTTCTAACATATGCAAACACTGACATCTGAAGTGTGCAATAGCACCTTGTCCTTTTACTTCTGAATGTTTCCACTAAAGAGATAAAATATGTCATATGTGTAATCCACACATCCTGATACAGTAGTACCTCGGCTCACGAACCTCAGTTCACGACCAAATCGGGTCGCAAACAAAAATTTAAGAAAAATTTTTACTCAGGTCACGAACTCCAGATTGAGATTGTGGCCATCTCCTTCCCCCCGCCACGAGTGCGCCCATGATTGCGCCTGTCTATGGCCGCAGTTGCGGTCGCGCTTGTGCAGGGATGACAGGCACAATCACAGTCGTGCTGGGGGGAGGGAGATGGCCATGCTCATGCTCGGGGGGGGGGGGGGGATAGCCGCGATCTTTATTGTTCTTTGTCACTTTGCTTCACATTTTTGTGATTTTTTTTAAAGTTTAAACAATGGATTAACCTTATTTACACTGAACCTTATGGGGAAATTTGACTTGGCTCACAACCAATCTGGGTCACAACCAGAGTTGTGGAACGGATTAAGTTCATGAGCCAAGGTACCACTGTACTAGAAGGATTTGGTGTGTACTCCACACTAGGTCCCAGATCCTGTCCCTTAGCATTTCTAAGTGGAGGTGGGAGAAATTCTGACAGTCTGGACAGCTGCTTCTACTTACTGAAGGCAATGCTAAGCTAGATAGATCAATGGGTATGACTTGAGGTAGTTTCCTAAATAGTCTGAGACCTGGACATTCCTAAAACAAGATAAAAGAAACAAAGAGAGCTACATGGCAGCAGCAAGCAGTAAGTTCAAGTGACACATCCAGCAGAACACAGGGTTTATGCTTTCAGAATGCAAGCAGGATTTACTAGCATATGACACGTATTATTTATGGGATTAAATTTTATACCTGTTATTTAACCAACAGAGTTATGCCAGCAAGTTAAAACACTTACATGGGATAGTTCTCAAGTAGAGATTATCTCTGATCACCTGTTGTAGTTTATGGTCAATTGAACCCTTCTGGAACTGCAAGCTTAGGTAGTGACGCAAATCTTTGTTGATGACTTTCCCTGTAAGAAAAGAACAGAGCTTCATGGAATACTGTAAGCTGTCATATGATAAGTATTAACCCGCCATGTTCTTTAATGCCCTTATACACTACCATTTTTTGCTTTGTTTTCTAGAGCTATCTGAAATGCAATCTGATTGCAAATGCTGAAGATACAAAATCTGAATAAGTATTTTGCAAATAGTTTCCTTTTTGACCTTGCTGATAAGCATATCGACAGAAAGTCAGTAAGTGTAGTGGTTAGAGTATTGGACTGGAAACCCAGGAGATGCTATTTCTGTTTATTTAATCATACTTGTATACCTTCCAATAGCCAAAAGGTTCTCTGGGCGGTTAACATAATTAAGAGAAATATTGTATTTGCAATTGACTTACATTCAATAAACTTATGAAATGCAAAATTTTCCATAGAAAAAAACTGGTAGAAAACAATTCAGCCCCACATTACTGTGTTCTTGTAATCTGAAAACCTAGTCAAGGTTTTCAAGGTTTCTTTCAGAAGAAAGAAAGACTACCCAGATCGTTTTCTACCTCTAATGATTTAGAAGTTTAATTTTAAGATGCAGCTTTTTTCGCACACGCAGTGTAACAATACAATATACTAGCAGCCCATAACTCTTGTTATGAGCAAAACTTTCATAATGATTAGATCATGAAATATAAAATGGATGTGTGCTTTTATACACATACATACAATTTTGATTATGACTTTATTCATAGATATATAAGATACAGCATAAGTAGTAATCTATGAGATCAACAAAATCAGCCAAACAAGACACTCCAAAAGAACTTTCCGGTCTCCAGGTGCATATATTCAAGGTCATCTCAAACAAGGTAAACCAAATTCTAAACAAAGGTAAACTAAATTCTAAATTTCTTCTATAGTGTCCTTTAAATAAGTCTACTATGTTGTGTAAAAGCTCTGCCAAAGCTAACATAGAACCTGCAGTTGAATTTGAGTGTTAACTTCTAGACAGGATGCTAACAAAATAATTAACAAGTCCATGTAGACTATTTTAATCCTGCTGTAGTCATAGGTGCATAGTAGAAAATGTAACATATCAGGGCGAACATGCTGAAAACTGAAGTCAAGTATTTCAAAAATATATATACTGGAACATATAAACCCTGGGTCATTCTTACCACATACACATCAAAGAGCCTGTGGTATACAATTTTGCGAACAGTTAGGAAATAAAAATGGGCACATGCTATATAATTTAAATGGGGTGTAATATCATCTATGAACCTCTTGTATTGAGCCTAGCAGAAATGGTGTGGAATGTGGCCATAGTGCTTTCTAGCTTTTGTCAGATATCGGCGATGGCAATTCTTGGCCATTCATGTGGTCTTACAAAGCATCACAGAATGCAATTTTGATAGGATCACCTTCCTTACTTAGTTCCCCTGATTGTACACACTTCTTCAAACTTCACTAGGGTGTACCTTCCGTTTAACAACTATTTTTTCTAGAAAGGAACATAATCTGAAATTTTCTAGCTAAGGACATACTAGGTGGTCAAGTAATTCCCTTTTTGTAATTAGCTGCCCTTCTATCACCAAGTTGCCAATTTAATTATATAAATACTCTTTAAATTTATCACTATGAGAAAAGCACAGGTTATTGAGAATTGGTAAAAGAGGGGAGGGGGAGCTAACAATGACAATATAAGGGTTTTTTTTAATGAGCTATTCAGCTTTGCAAACTTTGTATAATGGATGGGAAAAGACCGAAATACTCCAAATGGAAGAATATGAATAACCATCCCCACCATCACCCATAGGATATTAACTCTGTGCAGATTATAGGCAGTAATTGACTCTGCTGAACTGCATGGTAATGGTCAGGTTCTGATGATGCAGCTCCCCTTGATGGCTTGATAGAGAAAGTAGTCTAGTTCACCTTGAAAGTACTTGCAAAATTTGTATCCAACCTGTAGGTGTTTAGAGGATTATACCTGGTACACTCATGAAAACCAGTTGGAAGCCAGGCTGCTCAGTCCATCTAATATTGCCACAGTAATGCAAGTTTTTGTGGTGGCCACTTCCTGTTCCTGATCCAGTTTCTGTCTCCAGTCCTGCAATGTCTTAACTTCTGTCTTGACTCCTGCCTGTAGCTGGCTCTGTCTTTGCCTCCAGTATCTGACCCTCATTTGTTCTTGAATCTTCCTTTGCCCCTGGGGCTTGCCATGCCATGCTGCTATTTGAACCTTGCCTTTTCCTGACTTTTCCCTTTCTCTGGCCATGCTAACATTTTTGTTGAGCTCTCATCCACCTCCATTATCTCAGGTCCTGGTGCTTTAGACAAGGACACCTAACATGTGCCAAAGCAGAAAAATTGAGTCTCAAACTGGAGAAACTTAATCCCACATTACCTGACCTTATATAGTGAAGGTGGCAAAGAAACAATATCTCACTGCCTCTATTCAATTTTCCCCTTACCTCCCAACAGAGATTTTCAAGGCTTTTCAGGCCTTATTACATTCTGGCCCCAGGGAGACCATGAAACCATCTCAGGCTCACTGTAACTTACTCACTGGGCACTTCTAAGAAAAAAAAATCTCACATCCATCAGGACTTAACACTTCAGAGTTATAGCAGTTGAATCTGGGGAGACATCCAGAATAAAATCTAGTCCAGTTAAATTAGATGAGTTTCAGTTGATACAGCTCAAGGATGTTGGCAAAGTGCTTGGACAGGTTTGTGCAACCACCTCTGTGCTGGATCCTTGCCTCTCCAGGCTTATTAAAGTCAGCAAGGAAGGAATAACCAGCTGGGCCAGGGAGGTGATTAATGCCTCCTTGCGAGAGGGAGTCATCTGCCTTAAAGAGGCGGTAGTAAGCCCACTTCTGAAGAAATCCTCCTTTGATCTGGAACACCTAAATAAATTTAGGGCGGTGGCAAACATCCCTTTCTTGGGCAAGGTTATTGCAATGGTGGTTGCTAATCCAACTCCAGGCACTCTTGGATGAGACTGATTATCTGGATCCATTTCAGTTGGGGTTCATGCCTGGTTTTGGCATGGAAACAGCCTTGGTTGCCCTGTAACCAAGTGTACAGGATGGCAACAAGGGGATGGCTCTCTCTGTGGTGGTCCCCCAGCTATGGAACAACACTGCTGCTCAACTGGAACCAAATTTGTCATCTTTTTGGTGTTAAGATGACCCTTTAATGCTGAGGCCTTCAAAGACTTACTTGACTATCCAGGGGATTACTCATCCCAAGTGTTTTACAGAATCATGCTTTGTCCTTGTTTGTTTAGCTGTTTTAAACTTTTAAATGTTTTTATTATTTTTATGGTATTTTATTGAATTTGTGTTTTATGAATTGCCTTGGGTGCTAAATTTATGTCCTTGAATCCAGTTCAGCATCAAGAATCCCAGTGTCAGAGGAAGCCAAACCTAATCTGCCCCCAGAATTCTCCATCTATTAAACTTTATCCATACAACACATCGATGAATCAACATATTACATCTGGGAAGAATGTCCAGAAGGATAGCCATGTTAGTCTTGCAACAAACACAACAGAGCCTTATGCACTTCACAGAAGCCACCAAGGTACCCATTATCTAATCATAATCAGCAAAGTGAAGGTAGTTAGCCAAGCTCAACAACTAGGGTAAAACCAACCAAAAGTCTTTGACTACCAAGACCATACCTGCCCTGTGGAATGGGGATATTTTGCCTGAACTTGTACTAGGGCTGATACACTATTGTGTCTCTCTCCTTCACTCCAAAAATTAGCTGGAGAGTGGGGACTGTTTTTGGAATCATGCTGAATAGAAATGCAGTCTAAGTACTTTAGATGGCAAAGTCAAAACAACAAGTCCCAGCTTTCCTTATCGGCTCTAGGGAAGGTAGCTGAAGTTTGCTTATGTTCTTTGTTTCTGAAGTCCACAGAAGCTTGGATGAAGGGTATTTCGGCTGATCAACAAGCTATAGAACTAAGTTTATCATTTCGAGCTGCCCACCCTGCCCCCAAGTGCTTTGAGTGTCTCAAAAACATCATGCCAAAATAAAACACAGCCTCTCTTCACCCTTTTTTTAAATGTCTGCTTAAGGGAAAAATGTCTGGAAATTTCTAAGAGCACAGAATACTCTCATCAAAGAGCAATGAGACAGTCACCATGACAAGTGAAGCTGTAGAGGCAGACATAAGGGCAAGAAAAAGCCTTGCCTTATGAATGGAAGAAAATTCCTTCCCAATTCACATACTCTAGCCATGCCCTAAATGTGAAGAGACCCTTATCTATGACATTAATTTTCTTTAGAAGGTAACTAAAGAAGCACACTAGAATTCTCCAATATCCCATATCAAATCGATAACATTTTCAGAATTTCTACAATATGACAAATATCTTATGAAGAAAAATAGTTATTTCCCAGTTATTTGCGTTCATCATTATTATTATTATTATTATTATTATTATTATTATTATTAGAACATTTCTGTGCCGCCCCTTGCTGAAGCCTCGGGGCGGCTTACATTACAATACAAAAATAACAGTATAAAATTAAAATTAATATGATAGCCTTCCTAAATCCATGCAATTTTGTGAAAGCTTTGCCCAGATAAATATTCTAAACGGTATTCCTCCACTAGACACCTTCAATCTAAATTTACAGTTGGACAGATTCATTGCATTAATCTGCATTGACAATTATTGAAAATTATCTTTGATTCAATATAAGCAGATAATTTAGGTGAAAACTATTTACCACCCACAAGTGTCTCTTTTACTGCTTATTATAGTACTATAGAATACTAATATTTTAAGCATTTGTAATAAAGGGCAGTCACATAACATTAGTTTAAAAAAAACTTGTCAGAAACTTTACAAGTTAGTATTTGTAAAGATTTTTGCATAGCTTATTCTGTATGCTTGTACTTTCATAAATGTACTTTCATATGATATTTACCTGTTTTCATGATCAAACCAGCCCACTTTGAGTTAAGTCCCGGTGAACTGGGCAGGATCCACATATTCAATGTTCAAC